GCGTGTCTCATGGGATGCAGGATGTAATTGGCTCAACTCCCCAAACTGCTGTTTTGCATCTGCTTTGCTGTTTTCAGAAGGCAGCATCCAATGCTGCCACTATCCTAGTGAGAATGCGCACTGGGATGCTGGGAAGGTAGTGCTTGCTGGTGTGATCGGCACGGCTGCTTCTGAAATGGGAGAAATGAACGTTACAGAAGGGAGTTTCCTGGGCTGTGCCAGGAAACACTGCCTTCTCTTGCACTAATGCACTTCGCTGCTAGTGGAATGTGTTTCCAGGCTGCAAATCTCTGGCGTTGGACCCTGTCCAGAGAACCAACCTCTCTAGCTTTCCAGATCATTAGAAATAGTGAATAAGGACAGTTTAGGCTTCAATGCAGTGGTTCCTCCTTCAAGCCCCTGGGGTAGAGTGCTCAGGAAAAAGTGCCCACCAAGTATTGTTACTGGGAGCTGCCATTGCTAAGTGGTACTGGATGCACGCAGGTTTTAGGTTCAGTTACCTGCATCACTAGTGAAAAAGATTCCAGGTATGGAACTGGAAAAAAATCCTTGCCAAAGGATGCTGGTGGGTTTGCCCCTAATGGAAACCCCTGGAGGTTTCTTGCCATTTGGAGTGGGTAATGCTGAGCTTGGATTGGCTGGTCTCCTGGCTTGATCCAAGACAACTTCCTAATTTGCATTGGCCACAGAATCAGTTGCTTGAGGTAGGAATGACCTTTGTGCAGCCACTGGATCCATGGGGACAGAAGACATCTCCAATTCTGTCAAAAAGAGAGCCTTGGTTATTGGGCGGTATAAAAATGGATTCAAACAAATAAGTGGCAAGACCAGCGAAGTGATGAGATCATCCCTGCTCAGTCCAAAGAGTGCTTGTGAAGTCATTAGTGCAATCTGGCACAGGGACAGGTGTGAAAAGAAATGTGGTTCTTTTGAAATCATATCCTAGTTTGGAACAAAATCTCCCGCTGGCTTGAAGATTAATGATTAGCGTCAAGTAAGAAGCCCTCATTTTGGTTCCTCGAGAGAAAAGATTAAAATTTGGCTGTCAGTTCAAAAGAGTGGTCCCTTCCTCCGTGTTGCCATCCAAAGCTAGAGCCAGACATCACTCACAGCAGCACAGTAAAAATATTAGCACGAAAGCCACAATGGCTTCATTTGAATTAGGAGAAAATGACTTTCCGGTGCTTCAATCCAGTCTGACACATCTGTGCTTTCCTGGGCTTTTGCGTTGTTTGGTCTCAGCCATTGTCAAGGAATTTCTGATGTCCTTACCGACGGGTGGGGATTTTGGGGTGTCAGCTGGCACCGTTAATAAGATCAGTGAGGACGTCAAGTCCGGTGGGAGCGTCAGGCGAAGTGGGAAGTAGCTGTCGTCTTGGCAGTGCTGTGAGACGGCAATAATCAGACAAGCAAAAGCTCAGACTAGATGTACATTCTTAGTTTCTCTTCCTTTGTTCGTGTTTTAAAAGCAGGCAAATACATTAAAGGGACAACTCTCTTAACGTGTCTGTGTTTAACCTCAGAGGGTTAGAAAATAAGTTAAACTACCCCCTCCCAGCTTGTACCACGTCATTTTTCATTTATTTTTCCATCTAAAGAAATAGTTTTTGGTTTTAAATTCAAAGGTTCTACAGAAAAGAATATTAAGAGCAGGCACTAACCAATGCAACTGGGGCAGGGGGAGATAAAATATGTCATATCAGGTAAATGGGAAGGATTTAATGACTCCGGTACAGTGAAAGCTCTCATTTAACAGCTGAATTTAGATGTGCGCATACATGCAAACAAGCAAAATAAAACAAAGTGATAATAGGGAACCATCCAATAAATACATGCAACATTATTCTCATATGTTTCTCACGTGCATCATTCAATTAATTCTCATGAAACAAACACTGAAGGAAAGCATTGCTTCTCCTTTGCTTCTATCATCTGCTCCTATTTCATAAAATCTTAGGAAACCCTGCCACATTTCCAGGAACAGGCTAGTTGTGTAGGCTGTGTCTTTCTGGGTCCCATTTAAGTGAGTGAGGGGCTGAAGCTCAGGGGCAAAAATGTCCCAGTTCAGTCCCCTGGTTCTTCGGGGGGAACCCTGCTGGGTCAATAATCCAGTCCCAGGCAAAGTGGACCTATCCTCTGATTTGGTACTGGATACACCCTGCGTTCTTAAAATAAGTTAATTGATTTCTAGACATCACTTGCCACTGTCGGGGTTTCATCTCCACTTCCACCCCCATTTTTGCATTTTGGAGGATTATCTTTGCTGCTCTCAGTAAGTTAGCAGACCATTCCTGGTGCTCAGGTTTAATACTCTTTCAAAATGCTTAATAGCATAATTAATGGAGCAATAAGGAGGGCATAACCCGCAATCTCCTTCATGCGGTTCATCACAGCTTTCCAAAGTTTGTGAATTTTGGTGCCATCAGCCATGCATAGAAGCTGCTTAATTCTTATTACATCTCCAGCAGTGCCATGTGATGTTTCTGAACTCTGTTGGGATTCTGGTAGGAGGATAACACCTTTGTTAGAAACATGTCATAAAAATATAAAAATAAGGCCTCCTGCTCTCATTGGATCAAGTTCCTGGCTTAGGACTGTCAGTGGTTCTGCCTTCATTGATGGGCTGCTGATGATTCAGAAGCATGTGCAGATGCCCTTACGAATCCAGATGAGGCTGAGACCACGTGTGTTGAGCAATAGGCTGCTGTGGAGCATGGGCTTGGGACAGACATCCCCTTGCGGCACCACTCATCCAGCCCAGCATGCAGACTTTCAGTTTCAGGAATTTCTTCAGAGTTTCTAGTTTAAAGCTTTGTTTCTTGTTTTTGCTTTTTAAGAGAAAGTTGCTGTCAGAAAGCTCAAAAGTGCTGAGCTTCTTCGGTATTTATCTTTACCGAGAGGCCTGGGAAGTGGCGTTGACCTCCATCTCTGGCTTAGATTGTCAGTGTGGTGTCGTGCTTAGAGGGCTGGACTCGGAAGATCCAGCCTCTAGTCCCCACTCGCAGCCTGGCCTACCTCACAGGGTTGTTGTGAGAGGAGGAGGTTTAAGTCAGTCACTTTGCAAGAAAAAGGCAGGATCGAAACAGAATTAATATTGTCCTGGCGAATACCCCATGTATCAGTCTTCTCAAGTCTCCTTTCACCCATTTCAATGCCAGCCTTTGTTTTTACGTATCAGCTGGCAGTTTCTTGAAGACACATAACCATGAAATTGTTCTGCTCCTCCCACCCAGGTTCTCCCCGCCTCCCTTTGCTGTTTGGAGACATAAATGTCTCCACCGCGAGATCCCACACTCGCTTCTGCATGGAATTTCTCCACCTCATAGCAAACCCAGCAGCGTCTGGGCAGCCAGTGATGCTACTCATAGCGGGCAGTGTGTGGTGTGATCCGTGCATACCCTTGTCTGCTAGCGGTGCTGAACGCATCCCACAGTGGGCGGGCAAGCCAGTCTGTATGCAGAAGGAAAATCTAGTCGGGGACAAATCTGACGTCAGAGCTTGCCAGATGTTGGGGCACACTTCAGCCTCCCAAGAGACACTGGCCTTGAGGGCCCAATGCTGAGCAAGGCAACTTCGGAGGGCCAAGTTAGAACGAGAGACTGCTGACTTACGATTCATGTAGAGGTTAAGTCTGTTTCCTGTGGCTTGAACCAGAATAAAGTTTTTCCTGCGATACTGTACATGTTAATTGGCATGCCCTCTGCCAAGAGGTTGTGTTATCACCACAGTTTTTTTTGTGTGTAGCCACTATCAGAAATACAATTAATAGTAAATAATATTAAATAAAAATCAATAATGCAATTGGGCAAACTTGCATACACGGTTTGGTGATCTGAAATTAATTTTGCTTCTTTTAAATGAAATATGCTTATGAAACTCAGGTTGGAGCTACACATTGGGAGAGAAATGAGGTTTGCAACCCCATTTTCTCTTCTGATGTTTAATGCAGAGGTTGGAGTAGCTGTGGCGGGGGAAAATTGGTGAGTAGGAGGAGAATGTATAATTATCTGTCTGCTTATTTTCCTCTGTAAATCCCAGCAGGATCTTTGAAATTGCCCCTCCTCTCATTCTGAAACTGGAAATAAGCCCATTCAGGTTGGAAACTAAATGGTGTTAGAAGATTTGTGGAGCACAATATGTGGATGTGATTACGCATTCCTCCATTCCTAGTGTTTTATCTCAGCAACTGTGCTGTAGGACATGAATTGTCCCCAAAATGGACTATTTCAGATGTAACAGAAAACCAAATGTTTCCTGGCATGGCAACAAGGAATTGATCTCAGTTCTTTGCTTCGGCATCTAAATTATCCACAGCCCCCTGTTATAAGAACTATGATTTGTTTGAACTATGAGTTCTTAGAACAAGCCAGGATCTGAAACCACAGTTTCATCCCAGCTTGTTCTAACCAATCATAGTCAAAAGAAACTGTAGATCCCATCATTTTTGAGATAGTGGGGAATTGTGGTTAATTTAACCATTGAGGTAAAAGTTTCTGCTCTCTTCCTTGTGGATGCCCAAGAAGGAGAAAAGAAGAGAAACATTCAAGTCCATTCTTGCACAGAATGGGAAAATGTGGTTACTTTTTATATCTGAACTGGTACAACCTATTTGTCTGTTGACAGCCATCAACTACCAGTTTTGACAGGCCTCAAGTTGCTGGAAAAAAATTGGATATGGGTTTTTTTCCTGACATTCATACTTGTGTTCCCTTGAAAAACTCATAACCAGACATGTACCTATTCTGTCTTACATTCCGAAAATACAGTTATCAGAGGCTGTGCTTCAACTCATAAATTTCTTCTACCTACAAAGCAGTTGTCTCTTAGGAATACATTTTGTTCTTTTATGCATGGGAGTAGAAGGTTGTGCTTGTATAATACTGCATGACCACTTAGAGAATTAATTCTGACTTTGCTAGTGGATGAGAAACTACATTCTAGTGATTGTGGTGATTAAGATGAATTTATGATGATAATGGTTTTTAACCTTCTGTTTGAAGCTGTTGAAAATGGACATGCTGATGTGATAAAGCTTCTCCTCCAACATGGAGCAAATATTAATGGGTCCCACTGTTGGTCCGAATGGAATTCTTTGCACCAGGCTGTTTTTCAGGTAATCTATAAATCCATAATTTCATTTCCATATAAATAAAGTTTTACCCCCCTTTTTCAAATGACAGCTTTGTATAGTCTTTGCATGCCATTCCTTTTTCTGATTTATGTCAACCTAGTGCAGAAAAGTCAGTCTAAATGCAAATGATCATTCTGAATAAGGCAGGAACTGCAGTGAGAGTTAAACAGTGGAGATTTTAAATAGGGAAAAGTATTACACATGTTTAAGAAATGCTCAAACACAAGATGGGTAATAAATCTGTTACTGGACATTAATTTACTTGAAATAATTATTTTGTCCCAGTATATGGGACTCTCAAACAAGAGGCAGAGGTTTCTGAAATTAAAAGGGGAGGACCAACTGTAGAGTTTTAATTCCATGGAACTGAGATGGACTATTCTCTAATCAAGATCTTGTAGAATCCCGGATAGGTTCATAGAACAGATCCATCATAAGATTACCATTATGAGGCAAAAAGATCCATTAAACTTTTTAATAATATTGTATGACTTGATCAAAATGGAACTTGTCGTCTTCTAACACTGGCTATAGAGCTTCCTGATTGTGATGATGCGTTATTTGCTGTGATCAGTCATGGCCAGGGGTCGGCAACCTTTAACACTCAAAGAGCCATTTGGACCCGTTTCCCACACAAAAGAAAACACCGGGAGCCGCAAACCCCTTTTGACATCTAAAATGAAGATAACACTGCATATATCGTTTTTTACCTTAATGCTATGTACTGTATATCTTCATTATGATTTAGCTACAGCTCTTGTCCATTCACCAAAAACTGTTATTTTTAATCTTACATTATAAACTAGTAGGACTCCTTTCATATATTTCGAATAGGAGAACAGCTTCCTAAAGAGTCAAAGTCAGTGCTAAAGGGCTGCATGCATTAAACAGCAAACCCCATAAGTTCGTCAGCAGTAAAAGCAAGTGAATTTACCCACGTATCATTAAACGTTTGATTTTCTTCAGAAACTTTTCTTCGATTTATCCATGGTTGGCCTAATGGGGGAAGTCGCAGATATAGGTGTGTTTAGTGACTGATTAACAGATAAACAGTCAAGTGCTGTGAATTGTGACAGGTCCCAAGTGCAGCTTTTATCATTCAGAGGAAGGAGATTACAATGGGACAAAGAGAATCTTTTCAGCAGCGTTTCGTGTAACATGAGAGCCTGCAGGAAGCTTGTTCCACTCTTTCCCTGCACACTAGCAGAGAAATGTCACAATTTACTTAATCCGCTAGTGTGGCATTCCTGAATGGATGCCTCATCATCACCTACTGGTATTTTGTAACTCGGAGTCTCAGTTGCAGATTGGCAGCTGTGACGCGTATTTTGGGCAACGGAGCCACAACGGAGGGATTCCAGAGCCACGTGCGGCTCCGGAGCCGCGAGTTGCCGACCCCGATCATGGGAGGCCTCTTCCGAGCAACACTTTGATACACTTGCATTCCAGCCCCACATGCATAAAGTGGACTCCAGTCCATGGAAGTTGATATAAAGTTAGTCCTTAAACTATCTCAAGGCTTTGTCGCATTTGTATTTCTTCAAGGACACCCCACCAAATTTCTCTGATTTCCCCATCCTTCTTCAACCCCATTGTGCTCCATCCTGTACTATTCCAGAGGGTCCATTAAGGGATCCCTCTGCTTTAGGCTGTCACAGGGTTCTGTAGGGTTGAGGAGAAGCTGGGAAAAAGAGCTATTGCACAAATCGAATTCCCACGGTGAACTGATAACCTGACAAATACTCTGAGGAGTGCTTTTCTGTTGAAAAAGTCATGGTGGTGTTAATGGAACACCCTTGCCCACAATGCCTTTAAATTCAGAGTCCTACATGTAAGAAGGAGCTGTGCCAGATTACACCAAAGGCCTGGTTCAGCATATTGATCACACGGTGGCCAGTTGAGCACCCATCAGAGTTCCATGACATCAGAGTTCTATGACATCAGAGTTCCATGACTTCAATGCCATGGTACCATTATTCCCCCCACAACTGGCATACTGCTACTGAAACTGGAATTACTGTTTTCCATTGATAATTATCAATGATCAATAATTATCAATCATCAATAATGATCAATTATCAATGAAAAGATCACAGTCTTATCCTCCATTTCTCACATTTTCTAATATTATTAATAACTTATCCCTTTAAACTCATGGCAGGTAACTCCTGTTACTCCTGTTGGTCTTGAATCATAAAATGTTAAAATATTACCTGTGATGATAAAAATTGCCACCAAAAGCCTACCCTTAAATGTGGCCCCAAAACCGTGTGTGTGTGTGTAAGTAAAACTGTGGAACACAAAATGGAAACAACTCTGTATTCCTAAAGGCTTAAATAAGGAAGTCTTGATATTGCTCTGGCAGTGCCTAAGCTCAGACCCAATTCAAACACAGCGGGAAATAAGTGGTACAGTCCTCACAGGAATAAGGAAGAGCCTTCTGTCCTGGTGCTCTCATGCCACACTGAAAACTCCCTGTGTGTAGTAGCCTAGCTCTTCAAGGAGACTAGATTAATATTTTCCCTTTTCCGTTTGACAGGGAAATAGGGGAGTGGACAGAGATGCAATCTCTCCTCTGTGTTCTCTTTGTGATTCTTCAGTTTTAATCTTAAAGCTGGGGATGGGAGTCAGATTGGATGTCCTCCATTTTTGTATGGAATTGCAGTGCTGGTACAGATCCAGCTCCTCAAACACAGTCTCCCTGATGTGGCTGAGTACCCAGTGCCTAAAACATCCCCCACAGGTGGTCACCTGCCCTTGTCAGGATCCATGCTGCAGGTGGACATCCTGTGGTCTTCATATCGGCCAGTTTAGCTGGGGAGGGCCTGTGATACTTAAGCAGAATGTCCAATGTCTTATGCTACAGCCAGGAGTCACTATTTCCTGCCGCTTGTTTCCTTTAGAGCAGGGAACCTCTTTCGGCTCAGAGAGAGCTCTCACATCACAACTTCTGTAATTTATGAACTTGCTCTTAGTTGTTAGGGTCTGATCATGTTTCCCTCTGGCCTTAAACCCTCAGCCCACCCATGCAAGCCCAGCCCTGCTTTGGTTTGTTCCATCTCTGTGACATTTTCATTTCTGGTAGCAACTGGCATAGCATTGAGGCTCCTTCATTTCTTCCAGTGCCCTGATACTTGGCTGACACAGGTCCCAAAGGCATTCAGCTAAGATGGATTCGTTTTATTATTCCATTTGTGTTTCTGGGATTTGCAGTTCCAAAAACCAGTTTGCAAACTGGCCTTCCATCTGGGCAGACATTTATGTTGCAGGAAGCATGCGATGGCAACCCCAAGTGCCAGGGCTTTCAAGGTCCCATACTCATTTTTGATGTTCTGGGTTCTGCTGTGTATGGTCCCAGTTCCAACTGGGAATGGCTGGAGGGAGATGGGGTAACTCACACTACAGCAGGGGTGCAGATCCTTGCTCTCGGGGGCCAGAATGGTCAACCGTAGGTTCTAACGCGGGGTGTGAGATTCCCCAAATGGCTATGCTCCTTCTTTGGCCCCGCTCTGTTTCCCCAATTTCCAACCCTTGATAGGAGCAGCAGTTGATCTCTTTGCCAGTCTTTACACAGCCTCCTTAGCACCTCTTATTTCTGCCTCTTTCCTTCCTGTAGCTCCTCCAGAACCTCCTGTCCCAGTTCCCATCATCAGAATCTCTTCTTACATCCTCTTTCTGCTTTCACATACTCCCTTCAAAATCTCCCCTCGTGGATCATCAGAAATGACATGTTGGCATTCCCCATTCTGTTCTGCCTCCCATTCTGTGAATGTGTGTTCGCAAATTTCATGGATTAAAGCATGATGAAAGATCACACTTTCCCGGAATCTGCAAACACCTTTTAGGACGTCTGGAGTAAAGCACATGCCGCTTGTTCTCCCTGATCTGCGCTGACAAACTCTTTCTTAAAAAATACTGTACAAATGGCACAGAAAGTAAACCCCATGTAAGTTTGTGGGGAAAAGGCAGACAATACCTGTCACACTGCTCAGGATTTAAGCTCCCACAATAAGACATTTCTTTCTTCTTCTACCTTAAAATCAGCATGAAGCATCCTCAAACACACCTTTCCTACACTGCCTTGTTTCAGATCAGTCAGAACCTACAGCCCTGAGCCTGGTTTAAGAGGTTGGAAAGGATCCCGGCATAAAGAATGGCCAATCTAATAATGGGCCCTTTCTTCCCTTCAGAACTACCCTGAGATATTGAAATTACTCCTTGACCAAGGAGCTGAGAAAGATTCTGTGGACGACTTTGGGATTACACCTTTATTTGTTGCTGCGCAATATGGGAAGCTGGAATGTTTAAACATCCTTCTATCATACGGTAACCCTTTTCTTTTTCTTGATGATGCAGTCTTCAAGTAGATCTAGCTGGTGGACATGGGGAATGAATTATAACTGATGGAGTGGGGACCCTGCCCAGTTTTCCCACCTCCACTTGCATGAGGGAGTCAAATGGCGTTTCTGTGCCAGTCATATACCAGTTGTTTTGGTTCTCTCTTTTGAACTCAGCTGAAGATGAGTTAAAAGATTTAACTCATATATTTTTAAGATATTAAAAGATTTTTAATATCTTTAAGAGCTTGAGATTTTAAAAGAGTGAACTCATTTTAGGATCAGTCATTGATATTTCACAACCCTTCTCACTTAAAATGTTATGGCTATATTTTTTATTTTCATCAGGTTTTGCAATGTACAGGTCCCTGGTGATGAAGCTGCAGCACAGAAATTTGTAAATAGCCTGAATAAGTATGCAAATAATTCAGCACTGAATGTGCAAAAATTGGTAGCATGGCCTTGCCCCTTAGTGCATTCCAGCATTAGCAGACTAAAATGTTATGTCTTTTCAATTCCTCTTAATGTATAGATGTAAAAATCCAGGAAAATACAAATTAGGTACAGTCTATGTGCAAAGTGCTCCATTAGACTCAGACAGTGCAAAATTTAAACAGGAGAAATACAGATGTATGTTTATTTATTTATTTTTCAATTTATAGCCTGCCTTTTCCTACAAAGGGCTCAAGGCAGCTTACATCATTCTCCTCCTCCATCTTATCCCCACAACAACAACCCTGTGAGGTAGGTTGGGCTGAGAGTCTGTGACTGGCCCAAAGTCACCCAGTTGGCTCCATGGCTGAGCAGGGACTCGAACCCAGATCGCCTGAGACCCAGTCGCATGCTCTTAACCACTACACCGCACTGGCTCTCAGATGTTCCTGGCAAAGGACGTAGTGGCTATTCAGTGAGGTGAAGGTATGGCTAGTCCAAGGTGAGCTAGCCCATCAATGAAGCCACGGTACACCTGTGTGTTTCCCTTGTGCCCTTTATGGGATCAGACTTCAACCTGGATGACATTTCTGCAAACCAGCTCTCCTCTCTCCTGTTAGGTTCCCAGAGAAGGCTGCTGGTTTTCCCCTCTGGAAGGCCAAAGTTGCTGCTGGGAGGAAGGATGTCTGGACTCCCAGGTGCTTTCCCCTGAGAACGCTGCAAAGACCAGGTCACACTGGCCCCGGCAGTCCACACACTGACTAGCCCCCAGCCCCTTCCAGGCTACTGCTGATCAGATTCAGGCCATCAACTAAAAGGCTTCACTGTATAACTGGCATGGAATTCCAATAATTAATTCCATGATTTAACTTTAAACTCTGAAAAAGTCCTTTGATCTGGCCTACATCTCCCACCGATCAGCTTCACAGAGTGACCCCGTTGGGTTCTAGGATTGGAGGCGAAGGACCGAAATGTCTTCCTGCCTGCTTTGCCCACCAACTTGCAACTTCTCTGGACTGGAGGCTCCACATCCCTACCTTTGAGTTAGAGAAATCTCGTCACTAGGTTACTTCTAACTCTTCGGTTACTCCCCCCAGGTTGATTCCTCAAACAGGGAGGGGATGCACTTACTGGGTTCTGGTGCACAAGTGTTTGGCCAAATGCGTGTGCAGAATGCTGGTCTCGTCTTCCCCTTGCAGCTCCCCTTTGCTCCCATGGAGGAATTTGCAGCTGATCTTCCCCCATCATTAGCAAGCATTGTCAGGGCAAGTCCTCACAGCATTATCAAAGTTAATTAGTGCCATTTTAGCCTCACACTTATACTCCTTGCACTTGCTCTGTGTGTGTGTGTGTGTTCGTTCATTGATTTCTGTCCTGCCCCACAGCCGAAACTCTCTGGGCAGTTTACACAGTCTATAAGAAGAATTTTATAGACTTTTTCTAGACTTTTACCATCTCTTTTATCAGAAAAAGAGATGATAAAAGTGCAATTAAAATATCAGAATAGCAGAAGAAATATTAAAAAGTTGAAAACAGTTAAAAGCAAAATACAAACAGGCCATAACAAGGAATAACTGGGAGAGAGATGATAGAAGAAAGACAGAGAGAGACTGCAAAACACCCAGTGAGGCTCCTCAAGCCTCTGGGTAGCTGAGCAAGTCATTAAAATCCACTAAAATCCAAAAGAGGGCCGCCTTAACCTGACGCCAAAAAGATGACAGATTTGGCACCACCTGAGCCTCAGCAGGGAGGTTATTCCATGGACCACCAAGAAGCCCCTCCCCCTGCCACCCCTCAGCTCCTCCTTGGAATTGGCACTTGGAGGAAGACCCCAGAGGGCTCAGCATAGCGTCTGGGTGGATCTCAGTTGTGAAAGGTGCTCTGATACTTATGGTGGTCCTAAGCCACATAAGGCTTCATAGGTTAGAACCAGCACCTTGAATCGGCACCAAAAGCAGAAAGGCAGCCAATGCAAGCGGGCCAGAACCACTCTTAGCCTCTTGCCCGCACTCCTGCACCAAGCAAGCGTTGCTGAGTTTAATGGGGCTGCCCATAAATGAGTACCGGGACTTCGTGGGAAGTAGAAACCTTCCTCTGCTGTCACTCCCCTTGCCTTGAGCAAATGCTCTGCCTAGCATGACTGAGCCTACCGTCTGCCTAAGTTATTCCAAAATGAAAGATTAATCCTAAAGGCAGCTTGTCACACCCGCAGAGGAATCTCCACGAATATTGATCAATATGACAAATGTAACGGGGTGACCAAATGCCTGCCTTTCTCTAGGCAGTTGGCTCATTGCCGCATGCATATATTTCTGTAGAAAAGAAATTCTGCTCCTAAAAACTAAAATCCATGGTTTTGTAGCCTTAACCCGTGGCAACGGGGTCAGATGAGCCCCTTCAGGCACTGAAAGCAATCCTGACCATGGTTGGTTGCCTTGCTTCTTGTGGCACATGCATTTGGCAGCACTATTTGGAGGCTGGACGCAATGTTTAACTTGCACTTAATTTCTTCTTACATGCATTTTATTTATTTTTCATTTCAGCTTTATACTGCCTAGGTAAAAGAAGTTAAAACACCCCCACACACACAGCCCCCTCCTCACACACTAACTTAAAACAGCAAAGCACAATAGTAATTGCAATTGAATCAACACAGAAGCAGTGCAGAATAAATTAATTTTTAAAAAAATTAAAACTAACCTGTTAAAATGCTGATAAAATAAAGAGGTCTCCACCTGGTACTGAAAAGAATAAAAAGTGGGCGCCAGGTGTACCTCTTTGAGGAGGTCGTTCCACAACAGGGAGCCACTACCAAAAAGGCCCTCCTCCTGGGAGCCACCCCCCTTTGCAAGGGGCTCCCAGAGAAGGATCCCCAAAGATGACTTCAGTGGCTGGGTAGGTCCATATGGGATGAGGCGATACTTTAGATACCCCGACTTTTCCCATCATGGAACTTTAGATGCTTACGTGGGCTTCCCAGGTGGTCTCCCCTCCAAACATTGCCCAAACCCAGACTGCTTAGCTTCAGTCAGGAAGCTGCCGTAGGTGCCATCAGGCCTGCATCTGCTCGTGGGGTTTCCTCATGACTGGAGGAGTCTTTGCAAGCCTTTGCATCCCTTTCACGGGACTGGCAGGTGCTTTGGTGGTGCAGGAGAGCTTCACCTGAGATCCTTCACTTGTCTATATTTATGTGCTTGAGAAATATCTAAGATCACCCTTTGACCCTGAATACAATCCACCCACCAACCAGTCAACAGAATGTTACTCTTTATAACACATACGACAGAGGGCAAAATAGGTGGTGCATTACAAAAGTAAAAATGAATCAGTTAAACATGCGACAGGGACAGTGACGAGTACATCCAAAGCTTATTTGTATATATGTACTTACCAGGCCTTCACAAAATCCAAAGCTAACAAACGTAACCTACAGAGAAAATCATATCATACTTGTTTCCAGTTAAAGTGTGCAAGGCTGAAATGAACAGTTTTAAGCATCACACCTGCCCGGTGCAACCATCTCCCTCTGCATTTCAGGATCTGGCACTGCTCTCAAGGAGCACCTTTAAGAAAATAGCAACTCTCCTCAAAATCTTTATGCCCTTGTTTAAAAGTGAGAAGTCTATCTTCTGCCAAACTGACTTTTTTTAAAGCCAATCAGCAAGGTATCTTCTCTCTAATACCTTGTATCACTGAACAATTAAAGAAGGAAGGAGGGGCTCATCCTTCTCTGATCCACAGTAGCCCAAGTATAAATAGTGTGTTAGATACTCTGAGGCTTTAGAGGGCATTAACTGAAACTTGGGAAGAATTACTTTCTTCCTCCAACAGAACTTTGTCATAGGAATGCAAACATCAGCTTTCAACTTTGAAATTATCACATTAAAACAAGCAATGAAACCTAATTGTAAAGCAGGGAGGTGGTGAACCATGTGACTAAAGCTGCAGTACTGAGTAATATTATTTTAAAGCCTAGAGCAGGGGTCGCTGACTCTTTGGATCTCTGGCCACTTTGGGAATTTGCAGGACCGCTTTGGGTACCACCAAAGGTGGGTCTCATGGATCGTGTGGTTCTGTGATGGTTGCTCTTGTGGCCTAGCTAGTCAAAAGAAGGTGGAGAGAAAGAGCAAGGCGAGAGATTGGGAGCAAGGAGAAGCGGAGAGATTAAAGAAGAGGGGAAGAGAAATAGTGATGGTGGAGGCTGGAGTGGAGAGAAACAGCAAGATAAGGGGGTGAGTGAGGGAGAAAGAGCAGTGAGGGGCTGGGAAGGGAGAGAAATGGGAAGACTGGTGGCTGAGAGGCAGAGATGGAGAGAGAGCAAGGCAGAAAGGCCTGTGTGGAAGGAAGATGGTTTGGTGGGACCAGGAAGCAACTCCCTGCCTGCCTTAAACTATTGGTAGGGGAAAGGGAATGGAGAACTTCACGGGCATTGCTGGAGGTCCCTGCGGAGGGTGGTCTGCTGTGGGGGAAAGCAGCACAGCAAAGGCCTTGTCCTCTGTGCATACTCTTGCTACTTAGAGAAGAGCCTCTTCTGACAGCCTCAATGTACAGGTGGGCTGGTAGAGGAGAAGATGCCCCTTCAGGCATTTGGTTCAGAAACCATTTAGGACTTTAAAGATCAGCATCTGTACCTTGAATCAGGTTCAGGAGCAAATATCGTAAGCCATCCTGAGATTTTGTATAATAGGACAGCATACAAAAAGCATTTATTTATTTATTTATTTATTTATTTAATAGATAGATAGATAGATAGATAGATAGATAGATAGCCAGCCAGCCAGCCAGCCAGCCAGCCAGCCAGCCAGCCAGCCAGCCAGCATAATTTTTCCAGAACTGCCGTAACATTGCTTCAACTAACTAACCTGGGCAGAATTCTAGTCATTGAATTCTGTGCTAGTTGAGACTTTCAAATAGTCTTCTAGGGGAGCCCCACAGAGAATACATTGCAGCAGTCTAGTCTGGAGTACTTTAAACATGAGTTTTCAGTGTGTGCAGGGTTCATGAGAAACATTTCCCTTCTCCTTCAAAGGCCAAGTTAAATCAGGCAGTTTCAAAGTTGTAATTAACTTTAACAAGAACATACATATCAAATGGTTGATTTTTTTTTTTAGGAGTGATAGAATTATGTTAATGCTTTTCAGAGCCTTAATTTTCCCCACCTAAAATCTAAACAACGAAAGGGACGTAAAGACTAGTAGATCACCATGTCTTAAAATATATATGCCATCAAGTTTCAAGTTCAAAGCATGTTTGCAGTCCTAAATTTCCTTGGGTGCCAGTGGAAGGGTTTTGAGGAGTGGTGCAAATGCCACTTGATCTTCTGGGCAGAAGGTTTTGAGGGAGGGACTTGTTGTTGAGCGGAAGGGTCCCCAGGACATTACTGGAAAGCTCCGCTGGTGTTGATGCTGCTTTGGCCTCCAAGGAAGAACTGGTCATGGTGGGGGGATTGTGGCCTGGCACAATGATGTCCCTTGAATGAGAAGCAAACAAGGACATGCAGTCACATGGGAATGGCAGGGTGACAGAGTGACAGCTGCTCCATTATCCCCTAAGAGAGTATAAGGTTCTACTTGGGAGTAGGATCTACTGAAGTCACTGAGACTTACTCCCAAGTAAACATGCCCCTGGAAGGTTATGTTTTGCACTTCAGATTTTAAACAGATTTAGGTTGATAATTAACTGTAGAATGGGAACCCAACCCCCACTCTTGGTGGGGTTCCCAGAGTCCCCATGACCTTGATTCTGAAAAGGAGAAGACCTTGAAGACTCAGTGATGGGAGCTTTGGAAACTCAGGGAGAGGCAGAGAGCTTTCAAGCACCCTCAAGGTCGTTGCCCATGGATCCCAAGCCAACCAGGAAAAAGACGTGTTTTGGAAGATTTGGGTGGGTCGTCAGGAGAGAAGCGCTGCCCAGTTAGAGGGCTTGTACAGGTTGTACTGGCTGATCCTCCACCTGTGGGAGCCACCCTGAGGGTGAAGCCTGCAGAGTTACTGAAAGGGAGGATTTTGTGGGGAAGCTCCTACTTTGGGTTCAACACTCTTCTCATGAGCAGTGGCTTCTCTTCCAGCTCAGTAGAGGATTTTTAGTGTTCCCTGGTCCTGTAGCTGCAAAGCACCAACAAAGATCTGCGCTGCAAAGAGACTGCCTGGTGCTTCGGAGCCTAAGGGCAAGAAGGGGAGGGCTGAGCGCACAACAATAACCTTCCTGTTCTCAAATCTCTATCTCTCGGAGACAGAAAAAAATGAAATGAAGTGAAATACATTGGAAGTGGAATCAAAATAACCAAAGGAACTGCATCATTAACTTGCAAAATTCTTAGGCAGGGGTTGTAATTGCGGCCAGTAGCTTAGATAGCTTTAAAAAGGATGAGGCACATTTATGGCTGGTTGGACCACAAGTCTGTGTTTAGGAGCAGCGTACTTCGACTGTCGGACAGGCAGCGACTTTCTGTTGCTGTCATGCTCTCCTTGTGAGCATTCAGAAGAATTGGGCAGGACTGGCTGAGCTGCACTAGGAAGCTACAATGGGCCATTAACAGGCAGGAATGCTTCGAGAGGCAGAATTAGTTATGCATTCGTCATTCCCGAGTTCTTTGTCAATGTATTGCAATTCTCCCATCAGGAGCCGAGGTTAATTGTCAGGCCAAGGATTGGGCCACGCCGCTGTTTATTGCTGCGCAAGAGGGCAACGACAGATGTGTGGAGCTCTTGCTATCCAAGGGGGCAGATCCAAACCTGTACTGCAATGAGGAAGAATGGCAGCTGCCAATCCATGCAGCGGCGCAGATGGGACGTACCAAGTAGGTTCTGCAGGGCACGGGCTCCTAGTCCTTTGTTACTAAATCTTGAGTTGCATGACAACAGCCACGCACCGCACCCAAACAATGCAATCTGAGCTCCGCAGAAGTTTGCTCAGCCTCTTCCTCACAGCCACTGAAATAATGTCTCAGGGGTGTTGTGAGAGGTGATCACAGGATCTGGTTGCAACCCTTGGCATCAATCAGCATCCTTGTAAAGAACTCTCCGTGCACTGACACGTAATGCAGATTTTGATGTGAGCAGTGGGGGAAATCCTGCACCAGTCAAGATGCCCCTTCCCTGTACACAGCACCATTCCGGGCATGTAAATTTGCTTCGGAAGTTCAAATGCATGAATCCACAACCTTTGACACATTAGGGAGGAGTGCTGGGGTGTTAGAACAGTGACTGTCCTTAGCTTCGCATGGTCAAGTCTTGGAGCGAAGTTTTGCAGGTTCCTGTGCTGGACACCCTGTGCCCACTCTAAGTGAAGCTGCACAGAGCAGCACCCCCAGGTGTGGCTTCTGGCAGGGTGCACCCCAACAGGCAGGGGTCCGTCCACTTTGTTCCCCTGCAAGGGGAAATGGCAGCTCTCCTTCCGACTGTTTTGGCCTCAGACTGGATCTTCTGCAAACCTATGCCTGGGTTAGGAAACCGCTGCACATGGAAGGTGGCACTTCCGGCTTCAAACACGCAGACACATTTAAGTTGATTAAGGTTAATTTGTGCCTTGTAACAAGCCACTAACCCCAAGGTGCACACACCTACGTAGCAGTCCCTTCGTATACATGCCAAGTCTTGGGTGTCTAGGTTTTGTGGTTTGGAGCTGGCCTTATTTGTGCTGGGCTCTTCCTTGTGGATATGGGTGCAAGACGGGTGCCAGTGCACTGATGTCCTTGTGGGCCTCCTTCATTGGCTATATGCTCCCTTCAGTAGCTGAGGCCATATGGATTTGTGTACCAGTTGCTGGGGAACATGGCAGCTGGGTGCTGCCACATTCAGGCCCTGCTTGTGGTTGGCCACTGTGAACAGAGTGCTGGACTAGATGGATCCTCGGTCTGGCCCAGTGTGTCTCTTCTTATTTACTTCTGGGAGCATCCACAGCAGACAGAAACTCCAGAACAGGTGTTCCCGCTCCTCTCACACTGCGTGTGGATGTACCTCTAAGTCCTGGGCTGGAGGGAGTTGGGTGGTTTCAGACGGATAGAATTTGGACGCTCCATTTTGTTTCCGACACGCTTCTTGCCACCTCAAAGCCAAGGGGTTGAACTCGGGCTCATTCATGCTTAGAGTAGACCTGTTGAAAGCTATGGACCTCAAATTAGTCATGACTCACTGGCCCCACTTATTCCAGTGCATCTTCTCTACTGGAATCCAAAACTACGTCTTGTAGTTGTATTTTTCTTGTCTAAATGAGTAGTACCCCTGAGACATGGTCAAAACTAGGGAAAAGAAAATAGATTTGAAAAATAGGTTAATATGAGATTAAATGTATTTTAAATTAGTAGCGTATTTTAGATTTACATTTAAAGTCATGGTTTTGTGTTGTTTTTGCCTTCTTCCCACTAAGGACTGAAGAACGTAACATTTATGTACATGCACATACATAAATAATATATATACAGAAAGGCAGCAGAGGGCTTTTTTAACTGTCAGGAATGATCTGTAAGGCTCATAAGGATATTTTTGCTCTTGTACATCAGTAGGCAATGGTAACATCTTCTTCACATATTCACAGTATACTGCGCATGCTGATACCAGTTACCAACCGGCGGTGTGGCAGTGCCGAAGGGAAAGTGAGTCCGGTTTATTCCGCAGTCTATGGTGGGCATGAAGATTGCTTGGAAATCTTGCTTACGGAAGGTTACAGCCCAGATGCCCAGGCCTGTCCAGTCTTCAGCTGCAAATCACCCATGTCTCTGGCTTTCCAAAAGGGGTATGTATCTCTGTGATTATGATCCCTCTAGAGCACTGTGGAGGCTCGCAGGAGAGGGTGGATGGCGTGTGAACGGCAGGGACTGCTTTGTTCGAAGCATTTTTCAAGCTTGCCTGGAGCCCTTTCGCATCAGCCCGTCTGCGGAGGAACAGGGAGTGCGGAGCCACTTTGAGAGGGGAGCTGTGCTAGCAAAGAGCAGCAGAAGAAAAGAGGTATATTTGCATGGTACGCAACGCTTTGTGTACTAGCATGAATTAGTAACTCAGCGAGCCAATGCCGAGCAAGTCCGACTGAGTTGCATCCAAAGCCAAAGTGTAATTAACTTGTTTCCCAGGGTGACTTCCTCTCAGAAGCACTTATACCTGTGTGCATAGAGCTTGGGGCATGGCAAAGTTCCTGTGTTGCCTTCACTGTATTCATTTCCCCTCTGCCCTTTAACATTTCAGTAATACATAGGATATGTATCCCTTTGATGTGTCTTTCTGAAATATTTTGAAATGTTGTAATAGAAAGTTTCAGCGTAACATTCAAATTTGTTTGATTAGAACATTTAAAGTAAACAGTAACTTTGGAACTTTAAATCCCAATCAAATATTTCAGTCCAATTACTTCTGGTTACTGGGGAAAGATTTTGAGAGGTACTTATGGAGTATTTATGTTCTATTTACTAAATATAAGTCAAATAAACATGCTAAATCAGAACTCACTCAATTTAGAGCAGTGGAAAAACTTTTAGAATTTTTCCCCTGATCAGGTGTTTCCAGAAAGCCCACGTCACTGGTTTACTGTCTCCTAATCCTAGCAAAATTATTCCAGGATAAATTGGCATCCAAACCACTAGCAAGGGAGCTGAGATTATTCGAAATGGACTGTTTGTTTTTGGTACTGAGATTCCTTTTCCTGGGGCTTTCTTTTAAATAGAGCAGTGGAAAAACTTTTAGAATTTTTCCCCTGATCAGGTGTTTCCAGAAAGCCCACGTCACTGGTTTACTGTCTCCTAATCCTAGCAAAATTATTCCAGGATAAATTGGCATCCAAACCACTAGCAAGGGAGCTGAGATTATTCGAAATGGACTGTTTGTTTTTGGTACTGAGATTCCTTTTCCTGGGGCTTTCTTTTAAATAGAGTAATTACTTTATTTCTCTCACGTCACTAAGCCTGCGACTAATATACACTTACCTAGAATTAAGTCAAGTTTACTTTATTTATTGCACAAATTTGCATCCTGCTTTCAAATAAATTATCAGAGTGATTAACATAAAACTGAAATGCAATAACATGATCAGTACTCAGTGATAAAGCTAATTTGCTTTAATAGGGAGAGTCTGCCTTAAGGGGTGGGCCTTAAGCAGGCATCTTGTTAAAACCGTAGATGTACACCTCATTTCAGTGGGGGACCCACCTTCCAGGAGATGGGTGCTGTGGCCCCAAATACTCTACTACAAGTACTTCAGGAGTGTATGGCATGCTCAGAAGTGTTTCTTCTGGGGATTGCGAAGACCGAGGCAAGAACATAACGGGTGAGGCAATTTTGCAAGAAATCCGGTTCCACGTGTGTTTGTAAGTTAACAACAGAACCTTATACTTGGGCTTACCGGCAGCCAGTGCAGTTTTTTTAGCAGAGGTGTAATATGTTGTCAGAGAGAAGCCGTTGTTGTTGTTGTTGTTTTCAATACTGCCCAATAGCTGAAACTTGCTGGGCAGTTCATAACACTTTCTCAAAAATATTATCTGTCTATCTAAAGCTTTTCTAACTTGATCACCACTGATGTCTCAGGACGGCTTACAATATTGTTCTACAACAGTAGAACAAATAAAATAAAGCAAAAGAAGCACAGCATTCAGCAACTCAAGGTAATAAAACCCCAGTTAAAATGAACTAAACATTAAGATAATGGGAAAATAAAAAGGGTTTTGCCTGATGCCAAAAAGAATAAAGTGTCAGCACCAAGAGAACCTCTCTGGGGAGTGTATTCCATCGACGGGGTGCCACCACAGAGAAGGCCCTCCTCCAGGTAGCCACCCTCCTGATCTCCTTAATGGAGGACTCCCAGAACAGGACCTCTACCTCAGATCTCAAGGGGCGGGAGCGCACATAGGAAAGAAGGTGCTCCTTCAGGTATCCTGGACCCAAGCCATTTAGGGCTTTGTAGGTCATCACCGGCACCTTAAATTAGGTCTGGACTTCAGTTGGCAGCCAGTGTCACTGATAGAGAACCAGCGTTGTATGTCAATACCTGCCGGTCCCCATTAACATTCTGGCAGCTCTGTTCTGAACCAACTGAAATATCTGGACCGTCTTCAAGGGCAGCCCCACATAGAATGCGTTGCAGTAATCCAAACCAGCTAATCCAGTAAAAATTCAAAGAAGGTACAATAAAATTATAGATAGGACTACAATAACATCACTGTATAAAATTCTAGTATATAAATTTAAAAATAGTTTACCATTCCAATATACAAAAGTATATTGAATGTTGAATGGTTTACATTTGGAAAACAATTTTAATAAGACTTGTTGTTGTTGCTAGTTGCAAAGTAATGTCCGACCCATCGTGACCCCATGGACAACATTCCTCCAGGCCTTCCTGTCCTCCACCATCCCCTGGAGTCCACTCAAGCTCACACCAACTGCTTCAGGGACACCATCCAGCCACCTCATCCTCTGCCGTCCCCTTCTTCTTTTGCCATCTATTGTTCCCAGCATCAGGCTCTTCTCCAGTGAGTCCTTCCTTGTCATTAGGTGGCCAAAGTATTTGAGTTCCATCTTCAGTATCTGGCCTTCTAGAGAGCAGTCAGTGTTGATCTCCTCTAGGACTGACTGGTTTGATCGCCTTGCTGTCCAAGGGACTCACAGGAGTCTCTGCCAGCACCACAATTCAAAGGCCTCAATTCTTTGGCGCTCAGCCTTCCTTACGGTCCAACTTTCACAGCCATACATTGCAACTGGGAAAACCATAGCCTTGACTCTACGCACTTGTGTCGGCAGAGTGATGTCTGCTTTTCAGTATGCTGTCTAGATTTGCCATAGCTTTCCTCCCCAAGAGCAAGCGTCTTTTAATTTCTTGGCTGCAGTCCCTGTCTGTGGTGATCTTGGAGCCCAGGAAAATAAAATCTGTCACTATTAATAAGACTAGATCTAATTAAAACAGCTGGCACAACCCAGCATATGCCATTAAATGCCTGGGATGAAAGGGAAGTTTTAACCTGAGACCGAAAAGATGACAGCGATGGTGACAGGCAGGCCTCAGTAGGAAGATTATACCCGGATTGCGGGGCCACCACTGAGAAGGCTTCTGCTAGTAGTCTTGCAGCTGCATTCTGCACCACCCGCTGCTTTTGGACCAAGGCCAGTGGTAGCCTACATGGAGCTTATGACAAGATTTCAGCTTATCAGAAGCTCCAAAGCTCCAGCCTTTCTTTCTTGATGGGACTGAATCCCAGTTAATATCCAACATGGGGGTCTTCAGAGCAGAGAGGCATGGGATAGTGTTGAGTACAAAACGGGTGGTTCTTTTCGGAGTGTGTTTCAGGGCCAGGGTGGTACCAACTCTTCCGATCAGGATGCTGCAGTCTGGGGAGGGAACCCTGCAGAGTTGGAGATGGTGTTTATATGTGCAATTTTGCTGTATAGGCACATTTTCTGTGCCTAGTAATTTCTCTTGTGTACCTGCGGGTTGCCCAGTTTCTCAGTGAATTGAAAACTGGGCCTGGGCTTCGGTGGAAACCAGGATGTTGAATGGGGTCGAGAAAAGGGTGAGGGATTGCCTAGTCCCTGAGGCTAGGTCCTGTTTGTGTCCCAGTCCAGGGTTACTGGACACTCAACGGAGACACAAGTATCTCCACCTCTCTAAGATCATGGTTAGAGAAGAGCAAGAAGATCCGAGTTATGTAGAGCGGTGAGACCAGGACAAACTAGCACTGGGAAGGCAAGGAGAGGGGCAGCTGTCCTTGGTGGGCCTTTCAGGGCCCAGGTGGCACCAACTCTTTGGACGAGGATGGTTCAGGGAAGGGACGCCTGCAGACCTAGAGATGGCAGAGGAGGAAGAGCCTGTCTCCAGGCCGCCATCTCCAGGTGTGCAGGTGGACCCTGGGATCTGTCAAGGTCTGGAAGTGCCGGAAGGGGCATTATGGGAGAGGAGCAAGAGCAGGCTGGTCCGATCCTTGACCCCGGAATGCAGCACATCATCAGAAGGGAAGGGCTAGCCAGCTAGGGGGCCTGTGTACACCCAAGAGGCTTGTCGGACTCCAGAGGTGCACTTCCAGAGGGCTGGGGTCCAGGGTTACTCAGAAGGCAAGTTCTCAGAACCGTTTCTAGTTTGAGTTCAATGAACTACTCTGTACATGCTCAGAGACTCATTATTTGCTGGCTGTAGCTTGCTGGATCTGTATTGGAAATACAGAGCTTTTGCCAAAGAGCTGTCTGTTGTCTGAGCAAGAGAAGTGGGGAACCAAGCTTCCCACAGATCGCAGCGTAAGCCATCTGAAAGCATCTACACGATGCGTACTCGTTCTGGGTCATATACAGGCACTAAAGAACCACTTCAGAGTCTCCTTGGGGAAGCTCTCCTCTTTGAAGCAGAAGCTTGTCGAACACACGTTCGGTCTAATTTTCTTGCTTTCAAAGGGTCTTATCAGCAATCTTCGTCTCCTGGGAACTTGACATGCTTTTGTAATTGAGTCAAGTATATTCTTAATTAGCATAGTTCTCCTCTCTCCACCATCTCCTCTCGCCTGAAATGGGCGTTCAGATACTCTCGCAGCATCACTCTCTTGTGTCCCTGTTTGTAAAAATAAAAAGAGAACGGTGTTAACATGGCAACTTGGATTCCGCTGAGCACCCTTCCCATCAAATCCATGGAAATAGAGTAGGAGCACCGATGACGTGGGTCCAATCGTCTGCACGGCAGGGGCATTTCAAAACATGTTTGACTGTATGTGTCGACAGTTGTGTTTGCTCCATGTTTTTAGACTCTCAGTGGTGATAGGTTGAGCAATCTGGCTGTGGCTGCGCCGCCATCTTCAGTAGCCCTGGATGCGCTGCCTTTGCTCAGCAGGCCCTCTGGAACGCGCTCCCCAGAGAGGTCCGCCTGGCGCCATTGTTATTTGTTTTTCGGCGCCAGGCCAAGACCTTTTTATTTAAACGATATTTTAATTGTTAATTGCTGTTTCTATTTATTGGTTTTATACTATGCCGAGATGCTCCGGATTTTTAATGTTTATTCTATGTTTGTTTATTCTGCTTTGTAAGCCGCCCCGAGGCTTTCTGCAACGGGGGCAGAATAAAAATGCGATAATAAATAAATAAATAAATAAATAAATAAATAAATAAATAAATAAATGGCCATCCTCTGCTCCTTTCTGCTCCCTGGCCCATTGAAATTAAGCAGGAGGCTCAGCAGAGAAGGCCCAAGCAAACCGTCTGTAGCTCATCCTGCCAGCTTCACATCCCAGGGGAGGGGGGTACACCAGGATTTTGCAGGAATGGGACAGGGAGCATCGCTTACGGGCCCCTCAGTCTCTGTGTTGGTCTTGCTTCTGTTAACTAGCTCAGTTCTGCTTCCCGTTCCTTCCATTGGCAAAGTTGGCTCCATCTGGGTCTGATGGCACCCCCTGTTCTGGATCAGCTCAGCCCTGTTCAGACACTTTCTAGCTTTCTGGAAGGATCAGAAGGATCCCTTGCCTCCTGGCTAGTTTTATAGCCACCCTGCTATGCAGAGTAGCATAGAATTTCCTAACAAGAGATTCCTTTCCTAATTAGACCTAACGGAGGCTCACGTCAATCTCTTTGCAACTTAACTAGTTCTCTGTATTAGTGGAAATGGCAAGCAGCTGGCTGGATTAGTGTGTCTCGTCTTCTGTGGACAGTTTCAGAAATACTGGAAAACATCTGCGTTGATCAAGGGTTAGAAGAGGAAGTCAGTGTTGCAGAGATCCCAGTCTGAAGATCAGGAAAGGGGAGGGAGTTTGTCCACTACCTTTCTCTGAAACCCAGAGGGGTAGGTGAGTGTTTGATGTAGTCTAGAAAGCATCGATGTTTGAGTCCGAGTGAGGCGGGGTCTCCGTGAGACCCAACAGACCTGGCCACCATTCTCTGCAGCCAAGGGCCAGGAAGCAAAGGGTTCCTCGGCAGGCACTCAGCTCCCCCGAAAGCTTTGAAAATTGCAATCCGAAGCTAACATTCGCCCGTTGTGTATGTTTATTGCAGGGCTGGGTTAATTCTCACTCTTCTGAAGCATGGGATCACACTTCTCGAATCAGATCTAGGCCTCTGCCTGCACCACAAGAGCGCCTCTTTGTTCCAGCACTTCCTCAGGCGGGGCTGCGGGCTCCCAGGCCGACTGCACCTGGGCGAGTTTTCGAAGTGCGCCGTTGACGCGGGAGGCGAGTACAAAGAGTGGCTGCCATCTCTCCTGTTGGCCGGGTTCGATCCGGTGAATCTTCTTTGTCCGTCATGGTAAGCAAGATCACTTGCACGGTTCTGCAGGCATGTGCGTGCGCACATGTGCAGGAGTGTGGGTATCTCTGCGCCTGTGCACACACTCCACGTGAGAGGTGGTCAGCCCAAATGCCCGCAAAGGCTCTTGCACGTGCGCAAGCGGCCCCCTCCCCAGGCGCCAACATGCAGTGAGTGTCAGTGGCTGATGTGCCCCACCAGGAAGTCTCTCCTGGGCACGTGAGCCCTGCCCAGTGAGGGAGGCATCCCAGAGGTGAGCATCCGCCCAGATGTGGGAGGAGCTCCGCTGTGGGTGGTCCCATGACAGGCCTGCTTTGGACCGATGCTGATGTCACTCGTGGTGGCATCTCCTGGCGTGGAGACGGTTCTCCCACTCATCCTGAGTGCCCAAAGCGAAACGCGGTCTCCCTTTTCCTCCCATTTTCCCCTTCTGCACCTGTAGTGCTCGGTGATGCGGTAGCGGGGCCTTCTTCAAGACGCCTCACTTCTGACCCAGCACTTGCTGTGGGGGGAACACCGCAGGGGGTTCCAGGTGTCTTAGGCGAGAGCTTTGTGGGAAGTGGAAATGTATAGTAACTCGTCCCTCTTTCTCCATTCTGGGAAATGTGCCAGAGTGAGGCAAGAGAGGAGAAAAGTGAAGAGTGCTTTTCCCTTGCAGAATGTAAACACAGGTAATTCAGCCAGGTTTTTTTTTCAAACAATGGAGATTGCACACTGTCAGTTGACAAGGACACATGATGAAATGTGGGAAAATGTGCTTGGTTGCAGCTTTCTTTTTGCTGTGGGAGAAGACCCTTTGGCGCATTGTGTTGGGAGAGCAGGGGGAGAGGACGGGCTGTGCAGAAGGGATGCTGATTTTGTGTGAGTGTGTGTGTGTGTGTGTGTGTCAGGGAGGGAGGGAGGACTTTTGAATATGTGCAGCCATGTGAGGTCCTGAATGCTTCAGTGGCATGTGCCGGTGGTGGTTATTTATAAGTCCATTTTGACAACTCTCCAGCCACCCTTTCTGCCAGAATATCAGAAGGTCTGGAGCTCCCTTGGAAGCTCCCTGTAGCACAGGAGAGGATCCCATGCTGCGCTGACTGTTCTGCTAAGGTGCACATCAAGATGATAAATAAGGATGTGCTGAGCTTCTCTGGAATCTGACTTCACAGAATCACAGAGTCATGGAATAGGAGAGTTGGAAGGGGCCAGGAAGGCCATCGAGTCCAACCCCCCCTGCTGTTGCAGGACACCACGTTATTCCTTCCCATTCAGATGGCCGTCGAGTTTCTTTTGAATGTCTCGAGTGTGGGAGAGCCCAGCACCTCTCCAGGCAGCTGGTTCCACTGTCCTATTGCTCTGACCATGAGGAAGCTTTGCCTGATAGGCAGATTAGTGCCTGCCTATCAGACTTCTTCTGGTGCTTGTCTCTCAGGAAGTGAACCAAGCCTGGAAGAAGTCCATGAGTGTCTGTGGACCTCCAGCTGCACAACCAGAAACCTTCTGCAGCCGTCTTTCCTGGCGACCAACCTCCTTCCTCTCTCACTGCCTCCAGGGGCGGCTGTGGCACATGGGGAAAAGCGGGGCAGGGAGCTGCCGTTCCTGGTGGCCAGCTTGTTTCCCTGATTGCTGCTGCCAGCAGCAGAAGCAAAGGGAGGAGCGTGGCGCTTCTTGCGCTGTGTGTGGGGCTCGTTTCCCGGAAAGCACCCTGCAGACGTGGGCTTCGCTTGCCAGGAAATCAGACTCTGAACTGCTGCAAAGTGAACTGGACTTCAGGAAGCCAAAACCAGGGAATCTGGTGGATTTGCTGCCCAAAAGGGGATTCCATGCACATCACGGAATACAAATGCCATGATCCAGGAGCCTGCTGTCCTGGGTGTCTTGAATCCCAGAGAACCAATCCTACGCCACTCTCCGCCATAAGGAACCTCGCTTAGTTTTATTCCCTTTATCGAGGCAATCTGTTGCTAAGGGCAGTGGGCAGGCGACTCTGAGAATTTCTCTACCATCTCCCACACTAAAACCTTGGTTCTTTCTCGTGGATGTCCTGCCATAGCCTGTTGTTCAGGCTGCAAATCTTATCCAGGCTTACCTCATCCCTTTCCAGGTTCTTGCATCATGCTAGCGCTTATAACTTGCTGTCTGATTCAGATAATGGAAAGAAACAACTCAGGTTGAAGAGTTGGGGGTGGACATCCAGGCTGCATTCAGTCTTTTGCAACTGCTCTCCTTTTCCATGTCCATTCCGTCTCCTGATTGTTTATCTGGGTGTAGATTAATTCTTACCATGATTCGTGACCTGGTAAACCACCACGCTTTAAAACTAACCGTGGCTGGTGTGACTCAGTACAGATGTAACGCTGCACCATGGTTAACATCGAAAAGGGAAGCGGGAGGCATTCATTCGTGACGGAGGGAAGGTGAACGAGCAAGGCAAAACAGCACTGCCGACGTCTCAGCCATGGTTACTAGATTGAGGGAAAGGACCTCTGCCCTAGACCTGATGAATAGCAAACCCAGGTTAGCAAACAACCGTGGTTAAGATCAGTCCTGGCTAAGTAACCTCGTGGAAATTTCTGTGGCCGAGCGGAAGGGATCGGAGGGAGGTAGTGAATGATCGTAACCGTGGTTCGGGAGCCTTGTGTCTCTAATGCTGAACCTCTGAAACGGAAGCAGGTTTGGAGTGGAAGTAAACAGTTATCGGCTGACAGTGATGTTGGAAGAGAAGTGGCAGTGGAACACATTTACAGGAAGAACATAGCTGATCTTTCACAATATTGTGTTCGGTGTCAAATTCCAACTGTGTCGACTCATCACAGAGAGCAGAAGGTCTTGACTCTTTCACGCGAAAGGAGGGAAGCAGCCCGACGCAGCATTTCTGAAGCATTCAGGATGAAAAAAATAGTGTGCCCCTCCCGCCCCCCACTCCGGTGGGGAAGGGGGCACAGGATATTTTTTCTGTCCTTCCAAAGGGCAGAAATCATCTTGTTGTAGAACACTCGAGGCTCACAGTCGGGTTAAAATAATAAAAAGAGCCATGCATTCTGAAGCAAATATCACTAAAGGTCACTGGAAGCAGGCAGCGCATGAAAACAGCTCTTTTAACTACTTCGATCCTAGCAGAGTTTGCACCTTGAAGGCAATTAGCTACTTCCTTAAGGCAAATGAAATAAATCTTTTAATTATGCCGCTTGAATGAACTTAAGTTTCCAGCTGGCAGCTTCCTTTCTGCATGACATTTTGATATGTGTGGTTCTGTGTGTGTGTGTGTGTGTGTAAACATTGCTACATTGATCAAGTGGAGACAAGTCTAAATCCCAAGCCCCAAGTATGGCTCAGTGTCATTCAAATAAATTTATTTATTTAATTTTTATTTATTATATTTACACCCCACCTTTTCCCTTCTCAGGGAACTCATGGCAGCTTGCATTCTCCTCCTCCTCCTGCTCCTCCTCCTCCTCCTGCTCCTCTCAATCTTATTCTTGCAACGAGAACCCCATGAAGTGGGTTGAGCTGAGAGCCTGCGACTGGCCCAAAGTCACCCAGCGAGCTCCGGAGCTGAGTGGGGACTCGAACCCGGATCCCTTGAGCCCCAGTCCTGCGCTCCTAACCCCTCACTGCACCGCACTGGCTCAGTGGAATAGGGCTGTACCTGAAGGAAGTCTCCTGGTGGGAAGTTCTTTGGCCACACTGGTTGTTGAGGATCTCTGTTCACTGCCAGTCCAGGCGTGTCCTGTGCAGGTTGTCATGGCAGGTTGAATGGCTACACCAGTCAGGAAGCTTGGCTGAGGCCTGGGCGAGGCCGAGGAGACTTAGCTGAACAGATGGCAGCTGGGCCAGCGTCGCCAGGCAGGTTGTGTGGGTCCTGAGCTCCTGTCCAAAGCCCCACACCAAGCACTGCACTGGCTTCCATCATAACTAAACTGTGTTCAATGCCAGGGTTTCCTCCGTAAGCGGCGATGCTCTTAACTTCCTGCTGGAGTTCGCCAACTGGAAGAGGCTTCCTCAGGATGCAGAGCAGATCCTCGCTGGCCACCGGAGGACCTCGATGTGGGAGCCCTCTAGTCACTTTGGTACGTGAACACAGCTCTGTCTTCTTTCCATTGCATGGATGGGAAAGGGGGTTTTTTTGCATCGCTGTGGAAGGAACCAGCTGCCTTCCAGGTGCGCGCAAGTGTTTCAAAAATAGATACTTATCTGGAATAATGATCTTTCGCGTGTGGAACAATAGAAATTTCTGTCTTGCTGCATGGGGGATGCATTGCCAAAATGTCAAATGCCCCCCAGTCTCACCCTCCGAATGACCTGGTGGTGGTGCACTGCATCAGACTGGCCTGGCACAGAGCTTATTTCCCATGCTGCTCTGCACTTCCGAAGTTCTCTTCTGAAGCAGGTGAGACGCGGTTCTGTAATCCTCCTCTTGAAGGTAAATGTCACCGTGATTCCTTTGTGGCCGCTTGCTCTTGCAGATGTTCCTTTACATGCTGTTGTAAAATACACGGGGGCAAGGAGTTTGCTTTCATTGGGGTGGGTTCATTACAGCTGCATCCAGGTGAGAGAGTTTTGTTCTTCGTGTTCCAAATTAAATCTCTCACATGAAGCCATGAAAGATCTGCAGGGCTCTTTCCCCTTGTGGTGATGCTTCCTTCTTTTTTAAAAAAAAGCAGGAGGAAGTCGCATGAAGGGTTTAGGGCAGTGATGGCGAACCTTTTAGAGACCGAGTGCCCAAACTGCAACCTAAAACCCACTTATTTATCGCAGAGTGCCAGCACTGCAATCAAACCTGAAAACTGAGGCTTTAGTTTAGAAAAAACAACTCACTGTGAGTCCAAGCAAATCTCTCTCTCTCTCTCTCTCTCTCTCTCTGTCTGTCTCTCTCTCTCTCTCATTCTCTCCCTCCCTCCCTTTGGCAGCACACTGACCGGCCATGCAAAAGTCCGGACAAGTGGCGGCTAATGAACCGCGGCTTGTGACGTCATCGCCTGGCACCACTACTCCCTTCTGAGCATGCGCATGGCCCCTATGTGCGCTGTTATCTGATGCTCGGCTGCTGGAGTGATGCTGGGGCGACTTGGCTCGTGTGCTGGCAGAGAGGTGCCATAGATTCGCCACCACTGGTCTAGGGTTTCACTGTAAGACTGATACGGCAGCTTCAGCCAAAGGCAATATAATATACTGTAATCTTGTTGACTCCCCTGGATAAGCTCAACTCTCCAGCAAAACAAAAACCATTTTATCTGAAGAATCATGTGATAACCACACTCCAGCTTTAACACCTTCACACACACACACACACACACACACACACACACATTTATTTAGTTAAGGTTTTTATAAACTGTTCAATTAGCAACAGCTCTCAGAACAGCGAACAATTTAAAACATTTACATGCTTGTTGTGTGTTACTGAACCCTCCTCATCACATTCAAATATTTTGTTTGGCATTTGTACAAATGCCAATCCAGTACAGGGCTGTTTTTCAGGAGAAGAAATGATAATTAGCCAGAGTTGGTGCTCATCTTTTAAAAGACCACATCACCCTGCAAGCAGTTCCATGCCTAACATGACACTTGTTTCTTTCAAGAATATCATTCGAGTTGCAGTAGCCCTTTCCTGGAAATTTAGTCCCTGTACTAAACCATGATCACAAATTTTAAAAAGAAAAGACACTCCGCTTGGCTGGGAAAGCACTCTCTGTATCCAGGAACTTTCCCCACTCGTCCAAAGCCTTGAACAAGGTTTTTAATTGCTGTAGGCATCTCTGGGCCTACCCCTGCCATTCTGTTGTCCAGCAGGAAGGACAAGGTGGTGCTTCCCTCCATCCTTGTACAAGAGCCGACCCAACCAGCAAGTGAGTCCGACTTCAGCAATGGTGGCCTTGGCAGCATCGTAGCTTAGCGGGGACACAGGGCGGCTCACACGACAAGCACAGCTGTGCCTGTTCCTGCCCGGATCTCCCTTGTGTGAGGCAGCCACCTCGCTCGGTCTCACGGTAAAGCCGGCCCTGGTTCTCCAGTGAGCGCAATGAACAAAGGACTTCTGTGCTTCTTCAAGCTTCCAGGAGATCCAAGCGTGGGAGCCAGAAAACCCATGTTTTTACTGTTCATCCTTATCGCCGCAGAGCCTACAAAGGCTTCCACCACAAGCTACTGCACTGGTCATGGGCGGAGTGGAAAAACACAGGTGTCCCGGGGTCAGTCCCTGCTATCTGTAGTCTTGAAAGGAGGATCTTGGGTAAGAAGGCTGGCGAAGCCAAGATGCCACCTGGAGTAAACATCACTGAGAGCACAAGCAAACAGGCACACGGTTTCCTAGGCTGGTGTGAGTTATTCAGATCGGAGGCACTGGGGCAACTTGGTTGTTCCAATTAGGCTGCCGAAATCAGTGTGCTGTTGTGTTTTTCTAAATGATCCCAGGGCACTTCTTGATCCCGCTCTGGAGATAAAGGTCATCCAATTACTCCTGGCAACAGTGATGTTTCTGAACCACCCACTGCATGGGGAGAATGGTGCACATACAGTATGCAACCGTCAGTTGCTAACTAGAGACCCAGGGGAATGAAATAACATTTTTCAGAAAAAAAAGGGAAAGGTTAGAGACTCTGATCAGAAGGCAGCTCTTCTGTGCAATGCGGAAGGCCAGCAAACATCTCGGGATAGCTCGGCCTGAATATTTGGTTAATTGATCTCTCTTTGTGGTCTCCATCAGCTCAACTCCCTATTTTTAAAAATTATGATTAGCTTTCTCTGTTTTCTGTTTCAAGATCTGTAGCACTGGTGAAAAAGTATGCCTTTTCACAGAGTGTGCGGGCATCCTTCTTGAGGAGTATATTTTTAAAAATTTCAGCTAGAATCCCTGTATTCAGGAGTGCGTGTTTAAATTTGCAAAACAAGAGGGTGGATTCAGGGTCTCTGAATACAGATGAGATATGACTGGACTGTTAAGTAGATTCAGGAGAGAAGGGGGAAAACGTCCTCCATAGCTCAGTGCAAAGAGCATTTATTGAGTCTGTTGTGGAGGTGGCTGTTGGCTTAGCTGTTTACAAGGAAATTAGACACGTCCACAAAGGAGATGGGTTCCAGCAGTGGGTAGTGCCTTGGATGGCATGGTAGAAGCCTCCTCCGTCAGAGGCAGTGTATCCCCAAACACAAGTTGCTGTGGGGCAGCAGTGCTAGAGGGCATTGCCTTCCTGCTGTGCTTCTCGGCTTCCTGGAGGAGCCCATCCTTTGCAGGAGACAGGGCGTGCACTAGAGGGGCCTTTGGCTTGATTCACGGAAGCTCTTGTTCTGAACAAGTCACTGAGGTGGCACCCACTTTTTCCCAGGGGCTTTTTTATCCTTGACTAAAAAACAAACGTACACGCTTAGTTTTGCTATTTATGTATTAATTTATTAGATTTAGATCTTGCTTTTTCCTTACAACAAAGTCAAAGTGGCTTACATCATTCTCCTGCTGCTCTCAATCTTACCCCCACAACAACAACCTTGTGAGGCAGGCTGGGCTGAGGGTCTGTGACGGGCTCAAAGTCACCCAGGTGGCTCCATGGCTGAGCGGGGACTAGAACCCAGATTCGCTAAGTCCCAGTCCCAAACTCTTAACCACTCCACCTCACTGGCTCCCTTTTGAAATATTCTGTTCTCCCACAGTTTTTTCCCTTCACATCTCTCCTGGTATCTACTCTGCTACCTTCCTGGCACTAGGTTAAACCTGCCCTGCTTTGTCTGTTCATTGCCTGCTTTTCATCTGAGTTTTTTTCAGTTTTGAAACCCTGTTGCATTGTGTCAACATGGTACCTAAGCCACTTTGAAAGATCAGGTGGTAGGAAACAGGCGGAAGACGTCTTTTATATCACTCAATAATAAAGAAGGACCTTTTCCTACTTCTACCAAAGGGGAAATCTGGATACCTAAATGTCAGTGTTACTCCTATGTGCCAGAGGCTGTGCTTGCCCTGCAGGAAATGACAGCCCACAGGCTGGTTGTGGACAGTAAACTCTATTCGAAGGAGCTGTAAGGACTTCTTGCAGGAGAGGTTCAGCTGAAGCTTGGGGGTACAGGGGACAGGGGGAAGGAGGTCTGCTCAGGCTGTGGGGAACCGGAGAGCCTCACTCCTGTGATGTTCCTGATTATTTTCTTTTCTCTCTTGCAACAGAGTGCATCCCTTCCTTGTCTCATCTTTGCCGCCTGCAGATCCGATCACTTCTAACCAGCGATCGCCTGCGATCAGACCAGTTCATCCGCCATTTGCCCTTGCCCACTTGCCTGCAGGACTTCTTACTCTACTCGGATGTATTGACAATGTATGCCATTTCAGAATCTGGACTTAGGCTCGGGGACTTGTATGAAAACAATGACCTGCCGTCTCTTCCGAGTTCAGAAAGTACGGAAAGAAGAGAGACGTAGCAGGGAGGGTATCGGCTGTTGGAAAGACCACACGGCAGTGCTGAGTGGAAGCTGCTGCAGCGGTTGGCATCTCTACAGTTGCTCCCTTTAAGGACTTTTTCTTCAAATGGGCCTTCAGATGGACCTTAAACATTATTTTCCCTAGAAATGTTCCATATTTAAATGAATCAAAACAGTACAGAGGAAGAAATACGGTTCCTGGTCTATACATGACCAGTTCTCTACAGATTTAGTATATGGTCGCCTTCTTTCACAGTAAAAAATGGAATTGATAAAGACATCCCTGCAACAGCCTCCATCCTTTAGTCCCAGTCAAGTGTCATCTCCAGTTAACTGGGTATTCCAGCAAGGACCCTGGAGAGTAGTTTCTTGTCAGAGGAATACAGGCTTAGATGAGGCACGTGACCCGAAGGCAACTTCAGAGGTTCCTGTATGTTGAAACGTGGCTATAGCAGTCCACCCCCACAAACTAAATTTAGTACCTTACTTTTGGGAGAGACTTCTTGATCAGCCTTCCTCATGTTTGGACTGCAACACCCAGAATTCCCAGTCAATGGCTTTGCTGGACAGGAATTCTGGAAGTTGCAGTCCAAATGCCTCTGAAATCCACCAGATTGGGTAAGGCTGTTCTTGATGATAACAGCAGTTTGATCATGGAATCAATCACTCAGAGGGATGAGCAGCATGTGGACCTCCAAATATTTTGGCCTACAAGCTCTGTCGTTAGCCAGCATAGCTAATAGTAGGGATGATGGGAGTTTTGGGCTAGAGCATCCGGAGAGAGATACGTAATGCACCCCTGCTTTAAGTCTATATTCCCAACTGGAGGGAAACCTAATTTGCTATTGTGTATGGCTCTTGATAGTTTATTACATTTATTTTATAGCCTACCTTCCTGCCAAAAATGGTGCTCAAGGCAGCTTGCAATAAAATCCAGATGAAAAACAAAGTCCTCATTGAAACTTAGCATAAAAACAGATACATTAAAACTGCTATTTAGAAGCACAGCCATAAAAAATTGTGTGGCTTTTACATAAAACCCTCCAATAATAGACCAGCCTGCATGCCGGCCTGAGAAACCTTTCCTGGGCAGCGGAAGGGCAGTGCAAGGGGAGCCCATCTCATGTCTTTTGGTAGAGAGTCCCAGAGCCCGGGAGCACCCCCCGAGCATGATCCCTCTTGCACCCACCCCATCACCTGTACCTCTGCTGGCGACCAGCCTGGGTGATGGCCACCCCCACAAGTTCTGAATGTCTCGTCAGGCTCGGATGGGAAGCGGTGGTCCTTCCAACAGCCTGGTCCTAAAGGATGTCCACCTGCTATTCTTGCTTCTCCCTGTCCCATTTTTTTCTCTGTTGCTCCTCCCCAACGGGATGACGTGCTTTCAACCCACGGCTGGACATCCCTCTTTCGGGGATATTCTCACTCCACTTTTTCTCTGTCAAGGGGGCAGTTGGTTGAGACTCTCCCCACCTTCACCCTTCTTTTCCATGACGTGGCTGCACAAGCAAAGATGTTGTAAATGCCTTTCCTTTGCAAATATGAAGCTTTGCCAAGCCAGTTTTATGAGTGGTCTCGGTCAACTGTTCATACCAAGACGAAGGAGCATAGGCAATGTCTTAGGCCAATGTTGATGATGGCATTTACCTTCTCCAGTAGCTTTCCCGTATTTCATAATAGGATACAGCCATCAGAACAGTTTAAAAAGCAAAATTGCTTATGGGATCAGACAGTTTCGTGGTATCTGCAGCCGTCGTGCATGATGGCCACGCAGTGGTTCCGAGCTGAGTACCAGATGTGAAGGGATAGCCAGCAGGGAACACCCGTTGTCTTCATGACCTACTTGCTGGCTTATCTCTTTGGACTTCTTGATCAGACACAGCCAGGGGTCTCTTTATGTTCTTACGTTATTTCTCCAGCAATAACCCTGAGTTGTTTCATAGTTATTCTGTGTTTTCAAAGGCATCAAACACAACAGCAAACGTCCTTTCAATTAGCAGAGATCAAATGTCTGGGGATGTTTAAAGTTTATATATTTGTTGGTGGTGCACAAAGCTTTGTGGTGTGATGGACAGAAATGCTGGACTCAGAAGTTGGAAGAAACCTGCTTGCTTGGACATGAAGATTGGCAGATAATGTTGGGGCTCTCATTGTTTGATCTACTTCACAGGATTGCTGTGAGGATAAAATGGAGGATATGAGGAGCACTGGGCATTGCCCAACACGCCATGGAGGAAGGATGGGCAGAAACGCTCTGCATATTTAAGAATTTACATTCTAAATTACTATATCTGGGTTTGTTTCCAAAAAGATCAATCATCCTTGAATCAATGTGGGAAGTCACTCTTGGCAAAGACCCATTGATTTCAGTGGGATGGAAGTATGACTGAAGTCCTCTGGATGCTACACTCTGGACTTGCAGTACACAAACACTATATATGTAATGTTTTCTGTAGTATTGTGGCTTCCTGTGAGATAATCTAGTTTCCTCCAGATGGTTTGGACTTCAGCTTCCATCAGCTCTGGCCAGTGTGGCGAATAATCAGAAATTCTGGGAGTTGTAATCCAAAAAATCAGGAATACACCAAGTTGACAAAGGCTGGTATAACATGCGGAATAGAAGCTCAGCTGACAAACCACACTAGCTGGTCATGGGAAAGCAACTGCCGAGAAAAAGATTCTCACAGCAGCGGGCATCTGGGGCCTTTATCAGTTTCACTTTCAGAGAAGCTCTTGCGAGATACATTCCAGCGGTGGCAAAAGAGGACAGGCCGATCTTCCAAAAATAACAGGCATTTTCTGTTAAAAACCCTTACTCCCAGTAGCTAAACCTTAGCACAGGCATTTCACCTTTCAGAACGGGGCATAGGAAACCACACAATGTTCAGTGGTTGGCGAAGAGGTGCTGGTGCTGAGGAAGACCCGGGGACCCTGGAGCGCCAGGTGGGACCACAGATGGGCTGGATTTGGCCAGCAGGCTGGCCGAAAGACCGCACCCTCTCTTTACAGCGGCATTGGCAAAGCTGACTGAGATGTTGCGCTTGCCCTGCTTTGCACACTTACAAGTGCTAGCAAATGTTTCTGTTCCATTCCAGTAATACAATATTCCTGGGTTATGTTACTCAGGGATATTTACCTGGCCGACAACCGTTGTCCCCTCCGTTCTTGAGTTGGAGACGTTTTGCAGACGAGCCCCGGTTGTTTTCGAAGAACAGTCTGGCATCTGCCCAACTTGCTGCGCCCACGGTTCTAGCAACCCCACCCCAGCAAAATGTGTTTCCAATGATTTCTTTCACGGCCTCTTCTCAGATTGATTCCCCTGACCTTTCCCCACTTCTCTTCTTGCCGCCTCCAGTTCTTCGGCACTGAAGGATGGATTTGCATCACAAATGGTGGAACGCACAGAACAGCTCCGCTTACAATGCAGTCCCACTCTGGGGAGAAAGTGCAGTGAGAGCAGTTTTATGCTAACAGGAGTGAGCATAAATATTTGATACTCCATTCAGGCTGTGGCAATATGAAGGCAGGAGCATAGACGGGCACTGCCTTCTGCCTTTGCTGTGCTGCGGGATTCCGCGGCGGAAGGTTGGGCTTTTTCCTCCTTGAAACATCAAATGGAGAGACTTGATTTTGATTACTAGAAAGGGGTCGCAGAGAAGGACTACTGCCTTCTGCTAAATTTAAAAAGTTTGGATACGACTTTTTACTGCTGACTCCCTGCGAAATCCCCAAAGCTTGGCATGGTGGCCAGTCAGAATTCTTTCCTGCTTTCCTTAATGACGTATTTTCATTCTAATCCTCAGCCAAGAAAGCCCCTGGGCTGCATAGAAACATAGAAAACAGAGTGAGTCAGAAGGGGTCTCCCGGGCCATCTAGTCTGACCTCCGGCACCAGCCGGCTCTGCTCACGACATGCCCAAGACATGCAGAGAGTTTTATGTGCATAAAACTCTGCATAAAACCAGAGAGCTTCTGCCTTGCAGTTTATGATCTAAAAGATTCAACACAAAAGGAGAAATGGACAAGGATGGAGGAGAAATAGAATTAAGTAATTCTTTGGCAGTGCTGGCCGAAAGGTCCTGCTTGCCCTCTCAAGCAACAGTTACTTCTGCAACAGTTGGCTAGAAAGACTGCTGGTGGTGGCAATTAGGGTTAGGAGAACCCTAATTCTTCGATGAGGTTTAGGGCAACCTGAATTCAAATCCTTGTTCAGCGAAGAAGCTCCTGGCAGGGGTGGGTGGTCTTTAGTCACTATCTGAGCTGATCGCACAGGGTGGGTGGAAGGAAAAATGTTTGAAGCTAGAACTGCCTTACCACCCTGAGCTGCTTGGAGGAGGTAGGGGATTAAACATTCAACATAAATATGAAATACATTTCTTAAGCTGCCTCTGCTGGCTGCATTGGTCTCTGGTTCCCATGAGCCCTTTTCTTACCTGGCCTTCTCCCCATTGGGCTCATTTCTTAGACTGTGTCTTGTTTATGGTATTATGTTTCTCAGCTATCTGACTTTGATTTATATATATGTATACACTTGAGGAACTCAAGATCAAATTGCCAACATTCACTGGATCATGGAGAAAGCTAGGGAGTTCCAGAAAAACATCTACTTCTGTTTCATTGACTATGCTAAAGCCTTTGATTGTGTGGATCACAACATATTGTGGCAAGTTCTTAAAGAGATGGGAGTACCAGACCATCTTATTTGTCTCTTGAGAAACCTACATGCAGGTCAAGAAGCAACAGTGAGAACTGGGCACGGAACCACTGATTGGTTCAAAATTGAGAAAGGAGTTTGGCAAGGCTGTATATTGTCGCCCTGCCTATTTAACTTATATGCAGAGCACCTCATGAGAAAGGCAGGGCTAGATGAATCACAAGTCAAAATTAAGATTGCCAGGAGAAATATCAACAATCTCAGATATGCAGATGATACCACTCTCATGGCAGAAAGTGAAGAGGAACTAAAGAGCCTCTTA